TTTATTGAGACAGTAACATTAGAAAAGTTTGTATATTTGTTTGTACATGTGCATACATACATACATACATACATACATACATACATACATACATACATACATACATACATACATACATACATACATACATACATACATACATACATACATACATACATACATACATACATACATACATACATACATACATACATACATACATACATACATACATACATACATACATACATACATACATACATACATACATACATACATACATACATACATACATACATACATACATACATACATACATACATACATACATACATACATACATACATACACACATACATTACATACATACATACCCATACACACACTTACACACATGGTTACATGATGGTTTTATGACTGTTGTTTTTAAACATGGGCTCCTACTAACACGCATACACACACACACACACACACACACAAACACACACACACACACACACGTGTGATGAAGACTTGCTTGATTAAACTGATTTATGAAAAGTTGTTTTCTATAAATTTCTATTTCATGTGCTAATATTAAAATACATTTCAATGTATTTTTTTCATCTTTACCCTTCCTACAATGGCTTTTGTGCGTTCACACCTTTTTTAAAAACACGTAATGTATGTCCCTATAATATAATATATTGGCTATATATAATTCTCATGTTATAGATACTTTACAGTTTACATGTAGGTTGGTAGAAGACAATATTTTCTACCGAATCGTTGGCATTAATCAATTTAGAGCTTGTCTTTTCAATTTTCCTTACTAGAATTCTATGGGAATTGTTCAATTTATTGAAAAGTGAATTACCATCCAAGTTCATCATGAAAATTTATTGAAACTATTGCTATCCAAATACATCATGCAAAATGAATTGAATGCGTGTTATGTACGTGTTACGTACGTGTTATGTTTGTTTGGTACGTGTTATGTACGTGTTATGTTTGTTTAATTACGTAGATGACTGACGTACGCAATGCTCTTTTCACATATAAAAGTGAGCGTACGACGTCAATAATGTATACCATTACGCCGTTCATATACGCATATTTATGCAAACGTATACACAGACATATATATTTATATGTCTGTGTGTGTGTTGTGTGTGTGTGTGTGCGTGCGTGTAACATAATGTTATACGCATTCGTATATATTTTACGTTTTTATACCTTCCATAATCTTATAAGTATTTGTTTTTAATGCGTTTTTTCTTCGCAATGCTTTCTTTCTCTTTGGACGATACGCACGATTGTCCGCGTTAGTTTTGCTGCCGCGTTGATTGAGGTCTGGGATGTTGTACGTTGTAGTGCGTTTATGCCTGCTTGTTTTGTTGTTGTCGTTGTTTCCGCTGTCATTGTTGTTGATGTTGTTTTGTTGTTGCTGCTTTGTTGCTGCTGTTGTTATTCTGTTAGTTTTAATGTTAATAATTCTCAGGTTTTTTTTGGTTGTTACTCTAGACGGGTTAGTATTTGAAACGAGGTGCGTGCAATTAACATTGTGCTTGCCGTCAGTTCCTGCGTGAAAGCCTATTTTGTCATGCCTGTATCATTGTGTGTTTACAGGCTAGTTTGTTTTGTGTGTTTGTATGTCTGTTTGTTTGTTTATGTGTTTGAATGTTTGTTTGTATGTTTGTTTGTATACTTGTCGGTTTGTATTTTTTTAGTGTCAGTATGTGGATAAAATTTATGCTGGTGCAAGTATGATTAATTTTGTGTTTCAATGATTGAAAGTTGTTTTATGGACGTTGACATGAAGTTGTGAGTCATTGCAAGAAATACTTGCATCAACCAACATCCGCAGATCTCCATCTATTTATAAACTCACAGAAAAATACGTGCTTAAATAAGCTTAATTTAAAAAGCATTGTGACACATGAGTCTCAAAAAATATGAGTGCACGTTTTCATTGATAACATTTTTCATATTTTTACTTCATATACATTTACACATTTGTATGCAAGTACGTGTGTGTGTGTGTGTGTGTGTGTGTGTGTGTGTGTGTGTGTGTGTGTGTGATTGCCTCTTTGTACGCGCGTGTGTATATGTCCCTTTGTACATATGTGTATATAATTGTTTTTGTTTTCATATATGCGTGAACGTGCTTAAAGATGCGTGTTTGTTTGTGCGTGTGGAGAGGAGCCAAGAAATGATTGATTGATATACTCATATTCCTTAAACCTGATTCTTAGAACAAATTACGTTAGAGAGTTCGCTGAACATTGCACGACGCATGCACACACCAGGCTGCAGTCTTCCTTCTAATGCTCATATTTTTCAATGATTAATGCTTTTGTTTCAGTGAAAAAAAGAACTGTTTAATAAGCAACAAATAGTAATAATAGATACCAAAAAATGTTGCGACTTCGGCATGAATGCTAATATAATTTTGCATTGAATGCACAACAATGTGAACAAAACGCTGAGGCAGACGAACGAACGAACGAACAAACAAACAAGCACTCGCAAACATGAAACAGTCATATCACAACCAGTACTCGCATAGACGTAATAGGCACGTAAACAAAACAAACACACGTGCACGTGATCGCACTCGTGATCGTACTCGCTCTCACAGACACTTAAGCTAGACACAGTCTCACAAAAAAGCACTCACATATGGAAACACACAGACGTACTCACAGGCAGACCTACACAAACACACACACACACAAACAGATACATGCATAGATACATAAACGCAAGAGCGGGCGAGCAAGCAGTAAAACGCACTAGCAGCGACACAAGCGATCTATCATTGAATAGACTCGTTGCACAATTAACGTTGCTGTCCCATGATTAATCATCTATATACAAGCTATTACCAAACATAACATCACTACCACTTCGTCTAATACTGCTTTTAACTACTACTACTTTAATCAGTGCTACTATTACTATTTTTGCTGCTTCTGTTAATAATACAACTTCTACTAAAACTGTGGCTGCAGACGCCGCTGCATTGGAATAATATTTTTGCTGCGCTGTGGCACCTGTTCATTTTTTACTATTACTAACTACTACTACACTTAAAATTGAAATATTACAACACAAACCACAACTATCATTAATTATAAAAAAAATGTCAATCATAACCATTACAAAAAAAAAAAAAAAAACTATTACTACTACTACTACTACTCCTGCAGCGCCGCCGCCGCCTGCTACACTACTACTACTACTAAGTACTGACATTGCTAAATAAAAGCAGTACTGCTAAAACTATAAACACTATTATTGTTGCTAGTATTTTTAATTGTACTTTCGCCAACATTAAAAATACTCCTACTATCACCAACCACCGATATCACAATTAGAATATAATTATTACTACTATGACTACATCATTACTACCTTTACACCACGATTACTACTACTAATACTACTACTACTGCTATTAATACTACTACTAATACTAATACTGTTACTACTACAACTACTACTACTACTACTTCTACTACTACTACTACTACTACTACTATTACTACTACTACTACTACTACTACTACTACTACTACTACTACTACTACTACTACTACTACTACTATTACTACTACTACTACTGCTACTACTATTACTACTACTACTACTACTGCTACTACTATTACTACTACTACTACTACTACTACTACTACTACTACTACTGCTACTAATACTACTACTAATATTACTCTGGATGGAAAAAATTTTTTTTGGTAGTATCTGTAGCTGGATGATTTGGGTTTGATTTTGGGCAGTGCACCTCAAACAGGTATTAGAGTGTAGGCCTATGTGTTGTATTATTTCTTTGTATTCGTAATAATAATATTAATAATAATAATAATAATAATTATAATAATTATATTAATAATAATAATAATAATAATGGGAACATCTTTTTATTTTCTAACTCCAAATACCAAATATTAATAATGAAATAATTATAAAATCATATTTAATCTAAACGTAAATTTAAATCTGATAATAATAATAATAACAACAATGGCAATAGCAATGACAATACATCCATCAAAATAATATCAATAAAAGATACCGCAATAATAACGATAATATTAAAAATAATAAAAATAATAATAACAGAAAAATAACAACAAAAATAACAATAATAATAACAATAATAATAGATAGCTCCATTGTAGGCTGAGATCAAATGCGAAAAAGTGAAGCGAGATGGCGCAATGGCGTGACTGAGAACTCTATATATTACAAAAATAACATTAATAACAATAATAACGACAGTAACAATAAAGTTAATAATAATAATAACATCAAAATAGAATGATAAATGACCTAAATGATGGTTATTTGTATTGTTATTATTATTATTATTATTTTTATTATTATTATTATTATTATTATTATTAGTAGTAGTAGTAGTAGTAGTAGTAGTAGTAGTAGTAGTAGTAGTAGTAGTAATAGTAGTAGTAGTAGTTTGATCAGTATTTGCATTTTTTAAAGCGTTATTAATTACCGAAATAATGATTATGCTTTGCTGCATTTCGTACAACACTCACAAAGGATTGCGTCAATCATCCACGCTGACGCGTGTTTTCCCGCTCAAATCCTAGCAATGCGCGCACATCCTTCAAAGCAAACTGCACTCAAACGAACGTACACTCGTACACAAACGTACAATGACAGATAACCTCATAGATAGATATAAACACATAGCTACAAAATGATACATTACAATATGTAAATACGTACAACCACGCAGTTCTCTGCAATGCAAACATTGTTATAACCACGAACAAAAACATACACCCAGCATCGGTGAACGCAACAGAGATGCAACACCGAATAGTGAAACTGACCGATGACCCAGTTGTCGATTTGACGGAAGCCGGCTACCAAATGCCAAAAAGTCTCCTGTTCGGACTTAGATTATTTTTAACAGCTATAGTGGCCAAAATAACTTTCCCGCTAACAATAATCGGCTGTTATTGACCAGGTACTGTGAATTGTGCTATTTGACCAGGCAGGACGTTCCGAGCACCTCACATGTACAAAAATATGCAAACAAGCAAAGTGACACTTGTAGATAGGAGGAAGAAATGTAATAAACAAGCAGACATATTAAAATCTATGCAGCGATATACGCGAACACGAATAACAACTTACACGCATGTTTGCATACTTTTGCATACATACATGAATGCAAACATGATCGGATATATGTGCACACACGTATGCAGATAGCTTCAGACTTATGTAAACATACACGTGCACAAATGAACGATTGTACACATCCGCAGACGTACGCTAGCATAGAAACAGCAAGACGCATACAAAACTGCGGATAAAAAAAGAGCCGATATTCCGTGTTGAATGCAGAATCACATATGCAGAAAAAAAGTTAGGGAGGGAAAATTAAAAACATGGAAAAGAAAAAAAATTTGAAAAAGAGAAATAGAGTTTGGGAAAAAGATCACGAAAGTTGTTTAATTGCAAATGCTGAGGTCCTTGCAATGAAAAAATATGTAAAAATTATCTGTGTGTATTTTTTTATCTGACATTTCTGGCTGCAAATGGGTTTGTGCAATTGTTTGTGTGTGTGTGTGTATTTGCTGCTGTGTGTGTGTTTGTAAGTGTGTGTGTATGTGTGTGTGCTTGTGTGAGAATGTGTGTAAATGTGTGTTTGTCTGCCTGTTTGTGTACCATGTTTTTTTTTTGTTTTTTATAAAGGTGCAAAAAAGTGCATGTAAGGTCTTTGTTGCTGTTTGCATATATGTGCGCATTGTTTTACGTACGTATGGGATGTTGTATGCGTTGTTGTGTGTGCGTAAGATGTGCGTAAAAGTGTATTTTATGTAACGTAGTTTTTTTCGGATTGAAAAAAGTTAACATATTTATTCTATATTTTTGGAGGAACAACGAAAAAATTACCAAAACATGCATGGCATAATGTTCAGCCAACCATGTCAACTGATATCATTTTATAACATTATTTTTACGCCATTACATTAATTACATCTCTTATTATGGTCATAAATGTTAACGTTCAACGTTCTGATTTTTGTTATTACATAAATCCCATCATCATTAAGTCATTTACTAACTCAATTAAACTTGAAACTTTTGTAATTTCACACGATTGTCAATTTCAAAAATATCAACTTGAGCTGCTAATAATTTCTATCCATTTATCTTACAATTACTACTACTGCTTCTACAACTACCACTACTACCACCACCACCACCACTACTACTACTACTACTACTACTACTGCTGCTGCTGCTGCTGCTGCTACTACTACTTTTACCACTCCTTCTACCATTACTGCAGCTACTGCTAGTACTTCTGCTACTATTGTTACAACTATTGCTATTTGCGCAACGACTAAAGCTAATGATTGTGAAAAAAACATAGTAAAAATACTTTAATGTAATTTTAAGCAAAATTACTCAATCGCAAAATCAAACAAATGTGTTCTCCGAAAAAAAATTACTTTCCAAAAAAAATTTTCCGTTGTTGGGCCTGCAATTTGGAGGTAGCGAGTAACAGACCTACCAGCGAACGAAGCAAATGCAATTAAAATGCTGATTTTGCTTTAATTAACTTCTCTCTTTTTCTCTCCTTTCTTTTTCTCTCCTCTCTCTCACTTTTTCTCTTCTCTCTCTTTCTCTCTCTCTCTCTCTCTCTCTCTCTCTCTCTCTCTCTCTCTCTCTCTCTTTCTCTCTCTCTCCGTCTCTCTCATATCACGCCGGACTAACGCAATGAATAAACAAATGAATGAATGATGAGTGACTGAGTAAATGATTGGATGAATGAGTAATGAGTCTATAAACAAAAAAGCAAATGAATGAATTAACAAATAAATGAACAAATGAATAAATAAATGAACAAATGATTGAATGAATGAAAAAATGAATGAATGAACAAACAATGATAATGAAGAAATAGATAAAAGAATAATTAAATAAACAAATAATCAAACTATAATGAATGATGATAAATAAATATAAAAAAATATGTGCCATTTTAAAAAAAGAAAATTTTAACAAAACTAACACTTCATGTATTTTAAACAAACAATAGAGCGAAAACAATGCCAATGTTTGGTCCTTCACTATGGTTTGATCAAATTTTTAAGACGAACGCCTACTTAATTAGCTGCGTCAACGAAATACTCCAAACCTTAGGCCTCTTGCTTTGTTCCTATTCTATATCAGCATTTCTCTTTCCATATTTTACAAAAATAAAATATTTTTTTGGAGAAATTAAATTGTTAAAATATGAAAACATTAACTGTTCAAAATGCAATGAGAAATTTGGCCGTGACATTTGCGCGCTGGTGTCAGTGCTGGCTTCAGTAGGTACGTTCTCGATGTATTTCATTGAAGATCAAATAAGTTTCATCATTGGTATTTGAACATAAATAAATATTAAAGAAATAATAAATATAGGAATTAAACAAATAGGCGACCAGATGGTGAAGTAACTGAAAGTGTCTGCTCATATTTGCTTGACCTAGATTGAATACAGGAAGAGATGTGTAAGATGCATTGGTTCTATGCTTTCGTACTTACAACCAACAAGCCAGTAAACAGAGTATCCAAAAAATTAACAAACTAACAAACCAGCCAATCAATCAGTCAACAAACCATCCAACTAACCAATCAACCAGCCAACCAACCAAACAGACTATCCAACCAACCAGCCAACCAACCTGCCAACCACCAGCCAGTCAACCAACCAGCCAACCAACCAGCCAACTATCAACCCGGATGCGAAAATATGCCAGACTCATCGATAAAATTCTAATTTCGTTCAAATTATGTGCGCTACCACTGCAAAGAAGAACGCTGAAAAATCTGCGCACGAGTTATGAAAATAAAAATTTTATTATCCCTCGGGCAGTATTATTATTTTTCTTTATTATTCTTATAATTATTTTTATTGTGGATTTTATCAAAATTTTTCAAAATATTACCATAATCAATAACACATCCATCAACAAACACACATGCACACACGACACACACCACACCACACACACACACACACACCACACACACATACAAACCACTCACACATACATATAGCCCAGTTGATAAATAATAATTGCTCTAAGATAAATCCGTGGAATAATATTTCACTATCAAGAAAGATTTCTTAATTTTAATAAATCTAATAAATTATTGTTAAAAATTTTTGACGAAATAGAAAAATAACATAAACAAAGACACATATGAACACGTTCATATCCCATGCTCATATACAAATTACTGGTGGAGAAATTAACGATGTAGTATGTTTTTATGTATGTATGTATGTATGTATGAATGTATGAATGTCTGTGTGTGCATGTTAGTTGGTGTGTGTGTGTGTGTGCTGGAATGTGATAAAGAACGATTAAATGTAAGATAATGACAATAATGTATTTTTATCTGACAGAAATTTCTTTTTTGATTGGATTTATCCGTTCGATTTTTTAATAATGATAATTGTACGAAATTAACCGTCTGGGCATGAAGATAACGTGTGTGTGTGCATGTTTGTGTTTGTGTGTATGTGCTTTTTTATGTGTGTGTGTGTTTGTATGGGTGGGTATGTGTTTGTTTGTGTGTGTTGTGTATGTTTGCACTGTCTTAAACCTTACTAAACGAACACATTTTTTCTCAGTTCGTAATTAGGGATTGAAATCTAAAATTCAACAATTCATTCGTCATTCAAAAAAAGTTTCAAAGTCAAATATTGAGAGACTCCAAAAGGAATTGGACCCTTTACTGGCGCAGTATAATAATACTTGATGGAATTATTTTTTCTTAAAGAAAATCAGATTTTGACGGAAGCAGAATGGGTAAAAATTATAACAACTTGAATTAAATAGACTGTGTATTTGTGTAATGCAGGGTAATGAATCTGAGATGCATGTATACAATGTATATGCATGTTTACAGTGTATAATATGTTTGTGTGTGTGTTAAAATATTGAGTTAATTTTTTTTTAAATGAAATATAAGCACGGTAGAAAATATTAATAAGTGTTATATTTGATAGAATTGAGCAAAACAGATGATGATGTTATTGACTGTTAAACTTAATTATATGTACTAAATATAAATACAAGTTAACCAACTAACCGTTAATCATCAGTCAATCAATCAATCATTAAACCAGCCAATCAATTACTAAGTCATAAAACATATTTTGTAAGAAAAACATAGATACGCAAGCACATGCAATATAAAACATTTTCAATCATGTTAATCATATCTTTTTTTATTGTTTGTTGTAGTTGTAGCGTTTGTCGAATTGGTTGGTCTGTAGGAGGATAAGTTTGTCCTGTCATCTTGTACTGTAACTGGCTGACGTTAATGTTTCGAAATTGATGTTTCCAATCTTAATGCTTGTGAAAATAATGTTTCTGGCACTAATTTATGTGTATTTGCGAAAAAATTTTTTTCGGTAAAGTTTTTTAACTCTAGATCCTAAAATTAAAAAAGTGATAAATTTTATTGTTTTTTTGATAAACAATTGAGGTTAAAGGTCAAAGGTTATTAAACTCTTCCTAGGTTCAAAAGGATCAGCATCACACACAAAGCATGTGAATCTTTTTGTCGAATTCGAACTCGCTCTTTGCACGCTCTGCGAAACAGCAACTGGCGACCTTACCACTAGGCTACCAGGTCATTGTAGTCGTAATATGATTACACCATAATAACAATACTAATGACAACGATCATGACGATGATGATAATAATGATGATGATAATAAGAAGCAGAAGAAAAAAAGAAATGAATAATAACGATAATAATAAAAATAATAATAACAACAACATAACAACTATAAAAATGAAGGCTACAAATATTTCTATAGTAGCATGCTGAAATGATGTGAGCAAAAAGATTATACTCAAAATAAAATATTTTTTTCTCATAGATAAAGAAATATTTTGTATTGGCGTGTTGTTTGGTTGGAGTCAATTAAAATTTGTTTCAAAAACTAGGGCATTGATTTGTTGGCAAGTGATTCTACACGTGTGTGTGTGTGTTTGTGTTTGTGTGTGTGTGTGTGTGTGTGTGTGTGTGTGTGTGTGTGTGTGTGTGTGTGTGTGGCCTGTGTTGAGGTTGGTATGTGTGAG